TGTTATAAAAGTGTGCTTTCTTTGTCTCTCACACTTGCTTCTATTTTCCATCCTTCTGCGATGGGATGACCCTCACCAGATGCTGGTGCCATTCTCTTGGACTTCCCAACCTCCAGAGCTGTGAGAAATACATTTATTTTCTTTTTAAATTACCTACTTTGTGGTATTCTATCATAGCAGCATAAAATGGATTAAGACAATCTACTTTCACAATCTTTTCCTTTTTGTCTTTTTTGACTGTGCTGGACACACAAACAAAAAGAAATAGAACAGAATTGATGACTTAATATTCCATGTTCCATATTCCACCCATTATCTATATCCTATGTTTAACAATTTGAATTTCTGCTAGATGCACTACTGAAATATCTAGCATAAAAATAATAGGTATGAACATGAATATATTTTCTTATCTTTTTTGCATCAATCGCATGGCATTTGTCAGGTAATATTGTATTCAGCCAGCCTCAATGTTTAGCTATGACAGTAGAAAACTTATGAAGTACATTATATTTTTGAAGTAATTATATTTTTCTTTTTAATTTTTATATTTTGAAGTAATTATATTTTTCTTTTTAATTTTTAGAGGTGAGGTCTCACTCTGTTGCTTAAGCTAGATTGCAGTTGCAGCAGCACACTCATAGTTCACTGCAGCCTTGAATTCCTGGGCTCAAGGAGCTATCCTCCTGCCTCAGCTTCCCAAGTAGCTGAAACTACAGGCATGCATTACCACACCCCACTAACTTTTATTTTAGTTTTTTGTTTGTTTTTTAGAGATGGCTCTCACTATGTCACCAGGTTGGTCTCAATCTCCTGACCTCAAGTGATTCTCCTGCCTCGGCCTTCTGAATTGATGGAATTACCAGTATAAGCCACTGTGTCTGGTGGTAATTATCTTGAAATACACAAAAGCCTCTCATAAAAAGATGAATTAGACCTTATCTGTGTGTCTGCAGCAGAAAATTATTGTAGGTGGGTGGAGATTATAAGAAGGTAGATTTCCTCTAAGACATAGTAAAAAGAGTCAGCACGTCCCTTCAGAGATGTGTGTGTCTGTGTATGTATATGTGTGGTTGGGGTTGGAAACCACTGAATCCAGTCTGCAGCATGAGACTTTTATGATTCCAGCAGAGATCAAAGCTGAGTAGAAAAGAAGCCAGATACTTCTTACTCAATAGTGGGGGCTTCACTGACTTCATTTTCAACTAACAAATTGACTCCATGCTCAATTGATAAAAACCCACTCTACCTGAACTGTCCTCAAAACCCACTCCTAAACCTATTCACACATGTGCACCCATGTACATGCACACACATACACAGATGCACACAAACACACACATATACACACACACAACTGTTGTTTGTTCTTAGGAGCTGATCTTATTTTAATAGGTTCCTGGAAAGAATAACTGACAGCCTCAGCTTTCACAAGGTGCCATCAAATACAAAACTCTAATATGGGGCACTCTGTTCACTTTGCCCCAGGAATTCTGTGCCTGCCTGTCTGAAATTTGGCTGATGACCAACATCAGTGAAGGCTTGGGGTGCTAAGATCACATGCTTCAATCTTAAACCCTTTTTATATCTGGAAAAGATGAAGAATCTGAGTAAGGGGAATCTCATCCTTTGTAAAGAGATAAGGTTTCCTAGAAGAAAGTGGAGGGAGTGGAAATTTGGATAGAGACCATTGAACATTGAGGCCCTTGGTATGAAAGGGGCAGGAATTATTGAACCTGAGGACCGAAGATCCAGACTGAGATTTGGTAAAATGGCCACTCACAGGCTTTAAGTTCCTTCATTTTTGAGATTCAAAGCAATGTTTACATTTACTACAACTATGCTCTCTTCCTTTTTGTGTAATAATTCTCTTTCGAAATAATTGAAACTCCTTAGAAAAGAAATTTGCATGACACCATATACCCAGAGAGACTAGTGTTAAGAAAATGAAGAAACAGAGTGAAAAAAGAGGAGGAAGCCCTTGTGCTCCACTCGTACTTTCAGTCTTCCGTATGTTCTAGCAGACAGGGCATTGGTAGACCGAAAAATATGCCACACTCCATTAAGACATGGAGTCGATTTCCCCACCCTAAAGCAGGGCTGGCTTTGTGATTGGCTTTAACCAATAGAATGTGTCAGAAATAATGTGCTATTTTCAAGGTTAGGCCTTAAGAGGCCTTGTAAGCTCCATGTTTGCCACCTTGGAAAGCCACCCAGAGACCATGTAAGAATGCCAGTTGAGCCTAGGGAAGAATGAGCAGCCACTTGTGGGAGAACCAAGGAGTGCTAGTCACTGTCAGCACCAACTGCAATACCTGCCAGTCAGGCCATGTTGCCTCTTCTAGCCTAGCCAAGCTTTCCAACTGAATGTAGCCCCAGCAGGGATCCCAGGTGAAACCAATAGAGCAGACTCCTCAACCAACACTTCAGATTATAACAAATAATGGATCATTGTTTTAAGCCACTACATTTTAGGGAGGCTTATTAAGCAACAGTCCCTTTCTTGGAGCATGAGCTCCAGGTGATGCCCAGAGGATTTTCAGGGCAGCCATAGAGAAACCAGAGCAATAGGAGAACTCCCCAGTGTTCTCTCTAGGGAGAACTTCAGTGAGGGCAGAGTCATGGGCAAAGATAGGAAAAACCTGTTTTCCTGTACAGATTAGAGAATGCCACTCTCTGAAAAGAAAAGGGAGGTGACTCAGCAGATACTTAAGAACTAACAAAAAGAAGAAACTTTCTATCGGAGTTATCTAAGAATGGAATGGACTGTTTCAGGAGGCGCTGTGTTTTCCAACATTAGGGGCATTCAAGCATAAGCAGGATGGCGACTGAAGGGCAGAATTGGACCACTATGTAGTTGGATCTCTGAGGTCACTTTCAACCCCAGGCATTTTATTAGGTTCTCCAAGACCTATTTGAGAAGATGGAAGTATATGCATGATTATGTCAATAAATCTGTCATGTTATCTTGAGAATAGGCCTCAGCTTATCAAAAGTAAAGCATACATGAGAGAGAAAATTCCTCTGTGTGCACAGTTTATTGACATTTCTCTGGCCAGGCTAGGCAGAGCACACAGACAGATACCCAAAACAGGCACCAGAGGGCTGTGACAATGTATTACCGGAAAAATATCTGACTTAAAAATGAGGCCTCTGGGCAGAGTTTACATCTTTTATTGAGTCTTCTTTTGGGGCCAGGCCCTGTTGTTACCATTAAGTGAATGTGTAACATGATCATAATAATGACAACAGCAATAATAATAACAGTAATAGGCAACGGTCCAACTCCCTGTTGCCCTCTTACTACCTGTGACAGATCTGTCACTAAGATGAGCTGTCTCTCCATTCCCTTCAGAAGGGATTCATAAAATGCCAAGGGATGTGTTTGCCTCTGTAGCAAAGTGCTGCTTCCTTCCAGAAGGTGGAGCCTCTTGAAATTTATTTATAAGAAAGGATACAGGATTGATGCATACTTATTACTTTGCCTTTCAACAACATTCTTTTTGTGACATGCCCAGAATCATATAAATAACCCAAGGAGACAGCTGAGCTATGATTAAGAAACCATCATCTAATGAATTTCTTACCTGGGAAGGACTATATGGGATCATTCAGGCTCAATCACAGTTTAATACTGTAATCTAGAATTGGAAAGACAAGACGTTCAGAGCTAGAGTTTGGCAAGGAAAGGGGTTTAGTATTGTGCTAGGGCTGTTCTAATTAAGAGGTAAGCCTGAGGAGTCAGTCCATAAGAAGAGGCATATCAGAGAACAACCTAAGTGAAGCATACCAGCCAGTGTGATGGCAATGATGATGAACTGGGTGCCTCAAAGACTCAGGACTCAGTTCTAGTTCTATTGGAAAACACACATTTCTGAGCTTCATTTTTACATTGGTAAGATTAGAAAAATAATCCTAATACTGTTTAATCTCATGGGGTAATGTTGTAAAGTCCACATAAAGACATTGGTAGAAAAGTACTTTGTCAACTAAAAAAATCATAAGAATTATAAAGCATAACTGTAAAGTCTTTTTATTCTTGAAGTATAAAAATTGTTCACCTATAACTATATATAATAGAAGTCATACACATATATATGTGTGTGTATATACATATGTACATATATATGTATAGCATATATATATTTTTTTCTAAAAGTTTTATAGTTTTAGCTTTTATGTTTATAATATATCTCAAGTTAGTACTATAGTATGATGTGAGCTATGGATTTAAGTTTATTTTATTATCTATAGGTAGCCAGTTTTTGCAGCACCACATGTTTAAAAGAATGTCTTTCTTCATTAGATTTATTTGGCACTTTGGTAAAATATCACCTTGCCATATACATCTGGGTCTATTTCTGTACTCTCTGTTCTATTCCATGAATCCATATGTCTGTCTTTCCCTAATACCACACTGTTTTGATTATCATAGCTTTTAATAAGTTTTTAAATAAGGTAGTATCTGCCTTCCAAAGTTTATCTTCTCTTATAAAATTGTTTTGGCTATTTAAGGTTCTTTGCATTTCCATATATATTTTAAATTCAGCTTACTAATTTATGCAAAAAAGCATTCTGGGATTTTGATTGGGATTAAATTGATTCTATAGATCAATTGGAGGAGAATTAATATTTTAACAACATTTAGCCTTTCAAATAATGAGCATGGTATACCATGCCATTCACTTAAGTCTTTTAAAATTTCTCTCGGGAATATTTTGTAGTTTTCAGTATAGAGGTGTGCACATACTGCATTACATTTATCCCTAAGGATTTTATGCTTTGAAAATATTGTTGTAAATAAATGTTCTCTAATTTAAAATGTTTTAATTTTAAAATTTTATTTTAAATTGTTTTGTATGGAAATACAATTGGTTTTTCTATTGATCATGTATCCTGCAACCTTGCTAACTTTATTCATTAGCTCTTGTACTTTCAAAGGATTATTTAGGATTCTCTCTATTTGCCAATAAAGATAGTTTAAGTCTTGTTTTTCTTTTTCTTTCTTTCCTTTCTTTATTTCTCTTTCTTTCTTTCTTTCTTTCTTTCTTTCTTTCTTTCTTCTTTTTTTTTTTTTTTTTTTTTTTTTTTTGAGACAGGATCTCATTCTGTCATTCAGGCTAGAGTGCAATGGCATGATCTTGGCTCACTGCAGCTGGGACCACAGACATGTGCCACCACACCCAGCTAATTTTTTAAATTTTATTTTTGTAGAGATAAGGTTTTGCCGTGGTGCCCAGGCTGGTCTCGAACTCCTGGGCTCAAGCTATCCACCTGCCTTGGCCTCCCAAAACTCTAGGATTACAGGCGTGAGTCACAGCACCCCGCCAAGTCTTCTTTTTCAATCTGTATGCTTGGCCTTTCTTTCTTTCTTTCTTTCTCTCTCTCTCTCTCTCTCTCTCTCTCTCTCTCTCTCTTTCTTTCTTTCTTTCTTTCTTTCTTTCTTTCTTTCTTTCTTTCTCCAGCATATATAACAACAACAACAACAACAACAACAACAACAACAACAACAACAACAACTTATGTTTCTTTACTCCCTGCGCTGCCTCTCCTTCTGGCCTCTTTCTTCTCTCCTTCTTCTATCTTACATTTAGAACTTCTGTGTTCAACTCTATGAATACAAGCAAAGTGGATATTTTGACTTTAATCTTTCTTTCTTTCTTTCTTTCTTTCTTTCTTTCTTTCTTTCTTTCTTTCTTTCTTTCTTTCTTTCTTTCTCTTTCTTCTCCCCTCTCCCCCTTCCTCTCCTTCCTGTCCTCTTTCTTCTCCTTCTTCTTGTTTTAAGACACTGGTTAGGTTCTTAGTTCAACTCTGAATACAAGCAAAGTGGATATTTTGACTTTGTCCCCAAAGCATGTGTTGGAAACTAAATCCCTAATGTAACAAGGTTAAGAGGTGGGACCTTTAAGAGGTGATTAGGCCATGAGGGTGGAGCCTTCATGAATGGACTGAGGCTGTTATCTTGGGAGTAGGTTTAATTATAAAAGGATGAGTTTGTCCCTGTCTTTTTCTCCCTCTCTTGCCGTTCACCTTCTACCACGGGAAGGTGCAGCACAAAGGCCCTTGCAAGATGTAGCTGCCTACCCCCCACCCCACCCCACTCCAGTCTTGGACTTCCCAGCCTTAAGAATTATAAAAAATAAATCTCTGTTCATTATGCACAAAGTACTGACTAAGATGCTGAAGATAAGCCCCACTTGGTTTTGATATCTTATTCTTTTTAAGATATTATTAGATTTTATTTAATGATGTACTTTTAGCAAAATTCATATCTACATTTATGAGAGATACTGGTTTGTGGTTTTCTTATAATGTGTCTGATTTTGGAAACAAGATTATCATAACATGTGTTGAGAAGTCCTGTCCCTTCTTTTTTCTGGAGAATTTGTTATAAAACAATCTCATTTCTTCTCTAAACATTTGATGAAATTGATGAGTAAAGTCATAAAGACTTGAAATTTTCTTTTTGGAATCCTTTCTGGTAATTATTTTAATTTCATTACTAAATATTGGGCTATTTAGATTTTTTATTGTTTTCTAATTAGTTTTGGTAATTTGTGCCTCAAAAAAATTGCCAGTTTTGTCTAAGTTACTTAATTTACTGGCATTAGGTATTAAGATTTTTTAAATGTCTATAGATAATAAAATAGTGTTCCAATGTTAGTAATCTCTTTGTAATCAAGCAAGGCTATGTGCTTGAGGTCTATTAATCTTATTAATCTTTTCATAGTAGTAGCTTTGCTTTTTATTAATTTTCTATATTGTTTGTTCATTTTCTATTTAGTTGATTTCTGTTTTTATCTTTTCTATGTTCTTCCTTCTGTTTGTTATGGATTTAACCTGCTCTTCTTTCTTCTAAGTTCTTAAGAAATAAACATACATTGCTTTTAAACCTTCTCCCACTTACAACCATAAATTTCCCCGTAAGAACTATTTTAACTACATCCCTGAAATTTTCATCTGTTGTGTTTTCATTATAATTAAGTTCAAAATATTTACTGACTTCCTTCATGTTTTCTTATTTGACATATTTTGTATTTAAAAATATGTTGTTTAATTCCAAATTATTGAAGATTTTCCATACATATTTCTGTTGTGGTTTCCAATTTAATTACATTATGGACAAAAATATATTCCACTGTGACTTCGGCAAGCACAGGGAACTGGTGGGCTCCTGGGAAGCTGTGAGACCCATGCAGGCCTAAACCTGGGTATGGGCCACCCATAAGGATGGGGAAGTACAGCCCACAAAAACCTCCTCAGAACAAAGAAAAGGAAGGCACAGCACCAACCACTAAACGTGGCAACACCCATCGCCCGGGAACAGGCATGGAGAGGGGTCATCTCCCACCCCGCTGTACACTGTTATGGACACATAGTGGATCTTCCTTCTGGGGAGCAGTGTGTATACTCACAGAGTGTTTTTCGCTCTAGTGTGTCTACTCACAGAGTGTTCTTCACTCTTTCTTGGTTGCTCCACTCTGCTGAAGGTGATCTCAAGATGCTTGGGTTTACACAGAGGGCAAGGGCCAACTCCCGCTGCCTACACAGAGTGGGAGGATTCTTACAATGGAGGACAGACAAATTGTGGAGTTGCCTGTCCTGGACTGGACTGGGGGAAGAAGTCCTTCCCGGAGCCCATTTTTGTGGTTGCCCTCAGAGGTGGTCCCATTACTTGTAGCTCAGGAAGAGGAGCTGGTGCACACATCCCCGACTCCCACTGCTTTCCCCAAGACCTCAGCACATCCCAACACTATCTCTTCCCATCTCTGCCCCCTGCTTCCTCCATAGGATAGTAGTTACCACCAGACATCAGCCTACCTGAGGGCCAGCAGGATCTTACTCTTAAGGGCCTCCTACTGGCCTTCAGCCTGAACTGAACCACCAAAATTAAAAACCTGCTACCAGAAAGGCTATTAGTCAATGAGATAAACTTCCTGACACCTCTGCAACCTCAGCCCCACAAGATATAGTGTGTTGGCTCATACATTCAATACATGACTACAAAAAGTAGCATATGAGGAAAACACCACACAGAAGCTATCCACAACCAAGGAACCTATACAGTGCCTCGGTCCCCTGAAAGCACCCAGAAACAAAGCCAAATGATTACACATAACAATTATCACATTCATACACTAAAGGGAAACAAATTAAAAATTAAAAAGTGTTATCTAAACTCAAAATTAAGAAGTTACAGTTCCTTCAGATGAGAAAGAATCAGTGCAAGAACTCAGCAGTACCAAAAGCCGGAGTGTCTTGACACCTCCAAAAGATCACATCGGCTCTCTAACAATAGATCTTAACCAAACTGAAAAGTTTGACATGACAGATGAAGAATTCAAAATGTGGATTGCAAGGAAACCCAACGAAATCCAAGTTGAAACCCAATACAAACAAACAAACAAACAAACTACTCAGGGTATGAAAGGTGAGATAGTTACATTAAGAAAAAAACCAAGTAGAACTCCTGCAATGGAAAAATTCACTAAAGGGGCCAGGTGTGGTGGCTAACGCCTATAATCTCAACAGTTTGGGAGGCCAAGGCAGGATGGTCGTTTGAGTACAAGAGTCCCACGTGGGCAATATAGTGAGACCTCATCTCTGCACTAATAAAAATTTTAAAAAACTAAAAAAATAAAAATTAATATATATATAAAAGAAAAATTCACTAAAGGAATTTCAAAATACAGTTAGAAGCTTTAACAACAGAATAGAACCAGCAAAACAAAGAATTTCAGAGCTTCGGGGCAAATCTTCTCAATTAACCCAGTCAGACAAAAATAAAGAAAAAATAACTCTTAAAAAATCAACAAAGCCTTCAAGAAATATGTGATTATGTAAAGTGACCAAATCTATGACTAACTGGCATTTCTGAGAGAGGAGAAGAAAAAACAAGCAACTTGGAAAACATGTTTTAGGGGATGAGGAAAATTTCTCTAATCTTTCTGGAGAGGTTGGCATTCAGATACAAGAAATTCGGAGAAAACCTGAATAATACTATACAAGATGGCCATCCCCAAGACATATCATCATTGAACTCTCCAAGGTGAATGCAAAAGAAAAAAGTCTTAAGGGCAGCTAGAGAAAAGAAGCAAATTAGGAATAAACAAAATCCCATCACACTAACAGCAGACTTCTCAGCGGAAATCTTACAAGTCAGAAGAAAGCCTGTTTTTAGCTTCCTTAAATAAAAAAAAAAATACCAGCCAAGAATTTCATATTCTGCCAAACTAAGCTTCAGAACAAAGAAGAAATAAAGTATTTCCCAGACAAGGAAACCCTAAGAAAATTCATTTACAAACCATTGCTCAAGGACATGAGAGAGGACAACAACAAATGGAAAAACATTCCATCCTCATGGATAGGAAGAATCAATATTGCAAAAATGGCCACACTGACCAAAGTAATTTATAGATTCAGTGCTATTCCCATCAAACTACCATAGGCATTCTTCACAGAATTGGAAAAATCTACTTTAAAATTCATATGGAACCAAAAAAGAGTTTGTATAGCCAAGTCAATCCTAAGCAAAAAGAAAAAAGCTGGAGGCATCACGTTACCTGACTTCAAACTATACCACAAGGCTATGGTAACCAAAACAACGTGGTACCAAAACAGACATGCAGACCAATGGAAAAGAATAGAGAAATCAGAAATAAGACCACACATCTACAACCATCTGATCTTTGACAAACCTGACAAAAACAAGCAATGGGCAAAGGATTCCCTATTTAATAAATGCTGCTGGGAAAACTGGCTAACAATATGCAGAAAACTGAAACTGGACCCCTTCCTTACACCTTACGTTAAAATTAACCCAAGATGGATTAAAGACTTAAATGTAAAACCTACAACCATAAAAACCATGAAAGAAAACTTAGGCAATACCATTCAGGACATAGGCATGGGCAAAAAATTTATAATGAAATTGCCAAAAGCAATTGCAGCAAAAGCTAAAATTGACAAGTGGGATATAATTAAACTAAAGAGCTTCTGCACAGCAAAAGAAACCATCATCAGAGAGAACAGGCAACCTAAAGAATGGGAGAAAATATTGCAATCTATCTATCTGACAACATTGTAATATCCAGAATTTACAAGAAACTTTAAAAATTTACAAGAAAAAAACAAATAACCCCATCAAAAAGTGGGCAAAGGACACAAACAGTCACTTTTCCAAAGAAGACATTTATATGGTCAACAAACATATGAAAAAAAGCACAACATTGCTGATCATTAAAGAAAAGCAAATCAAAACCATGATGAGATACCATATCATGCTAGTCAGAAGGGGGATTATTAAAAAGTCAAGAAACAACATGTGCTGGTGAGGCTGTGGAGAAATAGGAACTTTTTACGCTGTTGTTGGGAATGTAAATTTGTTCAACCATTGTGGAAGACAATGTGGTTGTTCCTCAAGGATCTTTAACCAGAAATGCCATTACCATTTGACATAGCAATCCCATTACTGAGTATATACCCAAAGGAATATAAGTCATTTTATTATAAAGATACATGCATACATATGTTTATCACGGCACTATTCACAAGAGCAAAGAAATGGAATCAACCCAAATGCCCATCAATCATATACTGGATAAAGAAAATGTGGTATATATGCACAATGGAATACTATGCACCCATAAAAAGGAATGAGATCATGTTCTTTGCAGGCACGTGGATGAAACTGGAAGCCATCATCTTCAGCAAACTAACACAGGAACAGAAAAACAAACAGTGCATATTCTCACTCATAAGTAGGAGTTGAGCAATGAGAACACATGG